AATAAATAATTCTCTCTGTCTTCCCATTTTGTTTTTTTATTTTCTTTTTTTTTTTCTTTTTTTTTTTCCTCAAAATTTCACTGTTTATTTATTTTTCCTGCCGCCTTCCACCCATACTTGCTATTTTATTTTCTTGATTAGGTCACCGGTACCCTACCCTAACCCCTCAAACTCCGGTTAGGGTTTTCTTAGGGTTTTTCTAGGGTTTAGAATTTTCCTAACCCCCCCCCCTACTTCCCCTTTCCAATTGGGCACCCTAGACCCGACTCACCCTTCCCCCTTTGCGGGCGCCCGGACTCGACTCACTAGCACTGCCCGTTGCTTTCTACCGCGATCCCCCCCTACGCCCTCCAGTCCGGCCCGTCACCTCCCCATGGTCGACGGCGTGTCACAAGCCACCGATACGGCGACGACCTCGGTACCACGCTCCACACCCGTGTCGGCGGACCAGGGTCATCAACCCCAAAGGGATCTGCACACCCTCCTCACCTCCCTCCTTGCGCCCTTACAGACGTAGGTGGCGACTCTTGTCGTTGGCCTGCGGCAACTCCAGGACGCTGGCCGTCCTTCCTCTCCCCACGTTCTCTCTTCCCCTGGCTCTCAGTCCGGGTCCCCCGACCTCCGACACAGTGACCACGGCGGAGCTTCCTCCTCCGCCGCCCCCGACCCAACCATCCTGGTGACCGTCCACACTCTTAGCATGATGGCCGCCACGGGCCAGACCCTCCCTCATTCTACGGGCCCACCCGCCCAGATCCCAGTCACTCCGGCCACGAAACCACAACCCGCTGCCGTGGTCTCAACTTTTCCGGGTGCCCCGCTTCTCCCTCCCCTTCGCACGACCGTCGCGCCACCTGGCTCTCCCCCTTATGGGGATGCCCCGTGCCGCTCGTGCGTCTACTTCTTCCACTTTTCGCTCAATCTACGTTCGACGTCTCGAGGACGAGCTTGCCCAGACCCGGGCAAACCTCGCTCTCTTACGCCTTCAGCCACCCCTACCCTCACAGGTGGCCACGCCTTCGGGCGCACCCCCTTCTTCCTCTACTCTTTCTTTCATGCAGCCTCGTTTTCCTCGCCCTACACCCCCTTCACCCCCATCCTACCTTTTTCCTATGCCCTCGGTTCCTACGACCTCTTCCACCACAGCTCCCTCCCAGCCTGTCGCTATTGCCCCCGCCTATGAATCCCCCTCGGCGGCGGACAACCGCGGCCAAGTCCACGGACGCTGACTGGGCCGCGAGCCTGCGGACACGTCCGCGCGGACGTGCGGCTTTGAAGCCACGTGGCGGCTGCAGGGGAGCGACTTTCAAAATTCGAGAGATGCCACGTGGCGGCGCATCCCCGGCCCGAATCCCCGCCCACAAAAAAAAAAAAAAAAAAAAAAAGATCAACTTTTGGTTGGGGGGTTATGGGCAAAATCGAACGAAATTGAAAGAAAAAAAAAAAACGCGTTTTTTTTTTTTCCGTTGATTGATTGATTGATTGATTGATTGGKGGGGGSGGGGKCGCCCCGCCCCGCCTTTGATTGATTGATTGATTGATTGATTAGTTTCGTCGAATTTTTTTTTTTCGTTGATTGATTGATTGATTGACTGGTGGGGGAGGGGTCGCCCCCCCAGCGATTTATTTATTTATTTATTCGATTTTGCTTTTTTTTATTTATTTATTGGCTGATTGATTGATTGATTGATTGATTCGTGGGGGAGGGGTCGCCCCCCCCCCCCCTGCCACCAATCGTGCGCGCGCTGCCACGCAGCTCCCCGCAGCTCCCCGCAGCTCCCGCAGCTCCCCGCAGCTCCCGCAGCTCCCTGCAGCCCCGCGCAGCTCCCCGACGCGCGCACACACCTCTCTCTCTCTCTCTCTCTCTCTCTCTCTCTCTCTCTCTCTCTCTCTCTCTCGCGCGCGCGCGCGCGCGCAGCTCCCCGCACGCTGCCGCGCAGCTCCCCGACGCGCACACCTCTCTCTCTCTCTCTCTCTCTCTCTCTCTCTCTCTCTCGCGCGCGCGCGCGCGCGCAGCTCCCCGCGCAGCAGCTCCTGCACGCTGCCGCGCAGCTCCCCGGCCACACACACACACACACACACACACACACACACAATCAATCAATCAATCAAACCTTTTTTTTCAAGTTTTTTGTTTATTTATTTTCAAAATTTGCATCTTTATTTTTCTAAAACACCTCGTACCCCTGCAAAAAACAGAAATTCATTTCTAAAAAATACAGGTGAACTGAGGGACCATATATCTGATGATAAAAAATGACAAAAAAAAATTCCAGCTTATCTTTATTTATTTATTTTTAATTCTTTAAATCGAATTTAGTTTTTGATTTTTAAAAAATCCTAAACAAAGTCGGATCCCAGAAAAAACAAAATGGGGTTGTAGGGCTTAAAGTTCCCTGCAACCCCTTTTTTGTTTTTCGCCTATTATTTAATTCAGGACAAATCTGGTAAAATCGGGTCCGCTGCGCGGACCCGGTAGGTCGCGGAGGTGGCCGTGAATACGTCCGCCCTCCGAGCTCGGCCTTGCGGACGCGTCCGCAGGTGTTTCATATGCCTCCGCTGCTCATCAATGCGGCCCGGGCGTGCAGTCAGCTGCGCCCCTTCCTCCAGGATCTGCGCCAACTTACTCAGCCGTAGCGCAGGCCTCTGCTCCTCGATCTCCTCGCCGCCAGAATGGTGGCGCACCACTCGTCCGCTTGACGGACATTGCCTTGTATGATGGTACAGGGATTCTCGTGTTTAGGTGGCTACAGTCTGCCACCCGCACGCTCCAGCTCATGGGCGTCCCACCCGACACGTGGGTGACTCACCTCTCCACCCGCCTGCGTGGTGGTCCTTTCGAAGCCTGGGAATATTTCTACACTCACTCCCTTCGTGAGGGTCGGATCCCGACCTTCATGGATCTTCAGGCGCTCCTCGAGGATCTCTTCGGAGCCCGACATTACGTGACTGACGCCTTCGAGCGTGTCGTCACTACACGCTGGTCCGACTTTGGTGGCGCTGTCGGCCTGGACCGCCACATCCAGGTCTTTCAGGACGCCGGCCTCATTTGTGATGTGGCTGCCCTTATTGATCGCTCCTTGGTCAGCCTTCCCCTTAAGTACCGCTCTGAGTTATGGCGGTATGACTTCACGTCGGCCCCTCAGGCCTACGAGGCCGCTAGGGCTCATGAGCGGATGCCGGCCCGTCTTCACCCCACTTCCTCCTCCAGTCCCAACATACTGGTTACGCTCCCTCCTCTCACGGCACTTCTCAGCGTCGTTCCCCTTTCCGCGGTCGTCCCCGCCGTTCCGTGCAGCAGGGCCGCCACTTCTCGCGCCGCTTCAGCGAGCTCGAGTATGGTGAGCAGGACATTGTTGCCCCGTTGTCGCCTGATAGTGACCATAGCAACGACCTCAACCTCTGTGAGGTCGTCCAATATCACCTAGAGGACTCTACCCTCCCTATAGCCGAGCGCCTCTAACTCGCCCTTTCCACCCTCTCTCGGGCATACATCCGTTTTGATCACGCTGGCGCGTCGCCCCCTGAGGTCCCTCATTAGGACCTCCCTAAGGGCTTTGTACCTCCTTGCGGTGTCCTTTCCGCTGAGGGGCGCGTGGCCATTTTGGGTCGGTGTAGGTGTTTGCGATACCGCCAGGACGGTCATACCTCCTCGCGGTGCCCTTACACCGTCGCCCTCGACCGCCATTATGCTGAGCTCTCTCGTCATTGTCGTGCTCAGTCCCGCCCCAGCGCCTCACATCCCTGCGGCGGCTCCTAGCCACGGTGCAATGTACACCTGTGCGCTCCTCAGTAATCGGCTTCCCGACATCTTCGTCGTGGTTTGCCCCTCTCGCTACTGGAGTATTTTTATATATGTTTTCATTACATATGTTTTTAGGTATCGCAAAACCTGACAAAGTGTACTCAGCCCTCTGTCGCAATACCGTTTGCGCCTCCGCAGACCACTGTCTCCCCTCCTACCCCTCAGCGACTACTGACGTGTCGAGCCATTCGCTCAGCCCGTTGCAGCGAGCAGCTTGCGACTCGCGAGGATTTAGTGCCCTCTCTTCTGGACTTGAGCATACTTCAGGCTCGTCAGGAGCGACTCACCCTCCATGTCGCTGCGCAGCATCGCCTTCTCACCATCCTCTCTGACCCTGATCACACCCTCCCTATCATTCCAGTACGAATGGGGACCTCCACTAGGGTCTACTCAGCGCTCTGGGATTCCGGTTCTCAGGGCAACTCCATTCACCCACGTGTGGTGAAAGAAACTTGTTTACCCACGACAAGGTCTCTGACTCCCATCTCCGTCACCCTCGGGGCTGACAAGACCCGACGCATCTTCGATCAGAACGTCACCGACTTCCCTTTCTTTATCACTCTAGAACCGACGGATCGTCCCCCGTTGTCTCGTCGTCACCGCTCCTCTGCACATTCGATGTGATAGAGACGCGGTATGACTTCATTATCGGTACTCAGTGGTCATTCTCGCTCCCCCGTTGTTCTGAGAGACGTATCGCGTACCTTTCATAGGTACCACTGCGACACCACACCCCAATCCTCCTCCCTCGAAGTCTTCCGTGCCCACATCATCTCCAACTATCACCGTCACCTCGCCTCGACGGTTCATCCACTTCATCCGACAGAACGACGTCACCTTCTTTATGGTAAACGTTACGAATCTCTTGCACTATGATCCACCCTGTCCTAACGTCGAGCTCATCTCTCTAGAGCCAGATCCTCCTTCTATCTCCATGGCCCCCATCTCTACTTCCCTCCCTCTATCGCCCGTCGAGTCCACCCCGCCGTCGCGCATTGATGCTAACCAGTGTTGTCACGCGGGGATCCCCAGGGCCCAAGCCGGGGTGGGGGTTTCACCCCCGCAACCCCGCCGCGGGGATCCCCGACCCCCGGCCCCTCCAAATTAACCGCGCACGTGCCCC